CAGTAGGAAATTTGTGAATATTATTAATAAAGATTGCCAGTTATAGTAAATTAAGCCTCCTTATTGTTATTTAGCCTGCACTGGCGAAGAAAATTTTCTCACTGTATAACTGTATAATAATAAATTCTCACTGTATAATAATAAATATTATTATCTGTTGTAATTTATTAAGTTATAGAAAAAGAAGAATCTGATCTTTTATTAGTTTAAATTATATAGATGGAATAGTTACACGCATCAGAAATTTATTAACCGTAATATAATTCACTCGATGACTGTCAGTTTAGATTAAACAATTGCTTATTAATAACTGTTTAAATTAAATAAAGCTTTTTCATATGTCATGTGAATAAATACAATAATTACCAACTTCAAGATACTTGAACAAAAAAATGATAAACGTTGAGAGTTATCAATGATAAAATGTGAGCTTTTTTATCGCACGTCTTTCGTTACACGTTGCGTGCATTAAAATGTTTTTTTAATTTAACAAAGCGTGAACATTTTTTTATCACACGTTGTTTGTATCGTTGCACGTTGTAAATTTTTGTTTAGTTTAAAAATTTTAATTTAAATAACTTTTTAAATTGTAATAGATGATGATTGAGTTTTTGTGTGTTCGCGGCTTTGTAAGGTATCCAAACAGAGTGTAAGTGCTCCTTTGCTGCGTTGCGTGTCCAAACAAACGTATTTGAAAGAAGGCGACCTTTGGTGTCAACCATCGGCTGTGATATATCATGAGAATACGATGGATATCTTGGAAAATCGACAGTTATCCTCGATCAAGGGTAAAGATCCCGTCCAAGTTCAACCGCAGAAGATAAGATTACGTCTCAGGCCAGGTGAGAAAAAGATTTCACCAAGATCTACTCTTTCATACGTTATAGATCTCACGTTTCTTTGCAAAAAATTATGAAACATTAATACATATTTCTAACAATATATGTGTATCAAAACAATATATGTGTATAAACGCACTTTCCTTCATGAAAATGTACATCGACTTTTAATCTGCATCATTGAGACACAAAGTTCTTTTAGAAATTACAATAAAATAATTATTTTTAAGTACAATAATTATACGTTACAAATGCTATATTTGATATATTTTTGATATACTTATATATCTAATGCTATACATAATTCAAGTAAGTTACAAATTTTGTGAATTAAAAATTTGAACAAATTATTTATAGGAGAGGACTATCGCATAACTATGAAATACAGTCAGGCAGAGGATTATCCTGTAGATCTATATTATCTTATGGACTTATCGGCGTCTATGGAGCCGTACAGAGACAAATTATCGAAACTCGGTCTACAATTGGCTAAAGCCATGCAAAAGCTCACGTCGAATTTTCGCATTGGCTTTGGCAGCTTTGTAGACAAGGTCGTTTTACCGATGACTAGCACGCAGCCCGATAAGTAATTATATTTATTGCAACATGTGAATCATTGCAACGGATATTTCGCTTAATTAAATAAAGAAACTAATTATAATCATCGAAATTGTAATAATTGAATGGCATCGTGTTGGTAAGAGATTTTTAATCCGACTGAATTTTTACATTAGATTAAAATCTCCCTGCAATTTGAAAACTGGTGAACCTTGTGCACCGCCTTACGATTATAAAAATCAAATGCCTCTTACGGAGAACGTAGCTCTATTTGAGGTAATTATCATTATGCAATTATGTATTCGACGTATACTAAAGCAAATAAAAGAAAATTCTATTAAACAGTTTAGGACAATAAAGATAAAAACAAAAGTTCTGATTATTGCTTTCGAAATAATTATTCGATAAATATTGGATATATGTTTCATATCTTACATGAAATTAGATTTTGACGCATTATTTTTTGACAATTTCGTGCAGTTAATTTTAAATGATTTGTTGAATACACGTAGTCTTAACAAATAGGATCAGGTACAAGCGGCGCCGGTGTCGGGTAATCTGGACGGTCCCGAAGGCGGGCTCGACGCGATGATGCAGGTCATAGTATGTACCAAGGAAATTGGCTGGCGCCAAAAAGCACGTCATCTTATTGTGTTCTCAACCGATGCGATCTTCCACATCGCCGGGGACGGTAAGGTACGTGAATTAAAATAAAATACGAGGTATAATAAAATCGCGCACTCGCTGAAATAAATCGATCATAACCGGGTAAGAGTGGTGACTTCGAGATGAAAAAGCTTAACGGTTTCTCAGCTTGCAGGGATAGTAGAGCCAAACGATTGCAAGTGTCACTTGGACGAGAAAGGATTCTACACTTACTCCCTTCTGCAGGATTATCCGTCGATTTCTCAGGTGAGGATAAGAGGAGTATATTTATTTACTCTCTTTCTTCGAGGATTATTCAGTTACACGTATTCAGTTACATGTATTATGAATTTAATCGCTTAAGAAATTTTTTATTAAATTAAGAAAAATATTTTCTTTGTTTATAGGTCAATAGAAAAGCGCGCGAGCACAATATGAATATTATCTTTGCCGTCCCTGATCACAAAAATGCGACTTATCAACGATTAAGTAGTAGCATCAGCGGATCCTCAACTGGAACTCTCGAAAATGATTCGCAGAATGTCGTCGCCTTAGTGAGCAGCGAATACGAAGTAATTATATTTGTTATATAAATAATAATATATATTAATTTGTATAAATTATCTTTTTATATCTTACATTTTTTAGTTCGCATTATAATAAGATAAGTTAATAAGAAAATTAATTAATAATTTTAGTTTACTTAAGAACGCATTAATATATTTTACCTAATATGTGGTACCTAACTAAAAGATTGATAATAATTTAATACGTTGACAATTTTCAGAAATTAGTGGATTCGGTGACAATAATCGACACAGCGCCAGAGATGATCGACGTTAAATATTTCTCCCGATGTTTAAACAAAACAGGAAAGTTGTTGGAACGTCAAGAATGCGGAGGACTTCGCGTAGGCAACATTATCGATTTTGAAGTTGTACTTAAGGTGCGTTAATAAGTTACAATTATTATTACTAATTAACAATATGGTTCATTATGATTTGATTAAACACCAGGTTGTCGAATGTCCCAAGAATCCAAAGGATTGGCATCAAACTATGGAGATCAAACCTAGAGGCCTAAATGAGAGTTTAACTATCGATCTGGAAATTATATGCGACTGTCCTTGTGAGAATCCTGGACACCGGGTAGATATACTAAAGCAAAAGAGCTAACTCGAATAATAATATGTCGAGGAATTAATTTTTTAATTAATACAAATTTAACTTACGTCTAATGTTAAAAAATATAACTAAAAACATTATTTGTACTTTTATATAAGTAATCAAATTGATATAATACTGATTGTCCTGTAACACTTTTACTATAGAATTTTAAATTACCATTTTTGCGACATAGGGATATCAGCTGAACGCAGCAGAATGCAAGGGTAAAGGTACATCCGTGTGCGGCGTGTGTTCCTGCAATCCCGGTTTTTATGGAAAACAATGTGAGTGCGAGGGAAACGACAATGGTGATGCTGACAAATCGATCTCGATGATCGACTGCAAACCCGACAATCAAACCACCGAGATTTGCAGCGGTCATGGCACATGCAAGTGTGGCGTCTGCGATTGCGACAAACGACCGAACAATCCGCAAGAACTGTTCTACGGAAAATACTGCGAATGCGACAATTTCTCCTGCAAACGCAGTGGTGGCCAGGTATGTCCGAAAATTAAAAATATAACGATACGATTGCAAAATAGAATTCTAAGCAATGCAGTCGAGAATGAAATCCTAATGCTCTTTATGTAAGATATAAAAAGTACTTAATAGTTTTCTAATAAAAATACTCAACAGATATTAAACGTGATTCTCTTATGTAGTCATAAACATGATTTTATTATGGATTAAAAAATATGAGTTAAAAATTATATACTCGTTAATTATACTAAAATATAATTTAATATTTTTTAAGCATATATAGTATTTATTTATATAAACAACAAAATTACACGCTCAAAAGAGGATAGCTAGGAACAGGAGATCTTTATTATCGCGCGTAACTGCCGTGTTTTCTCGCTTGATAGTTGCTTTTAACAAATTCGCGCGGAAGTTACACGGCAATCTTGCCTTCGAGCGAGCGCGGCAGCGCGGCGTTTATAAAGACGGTTGGACAAATTACACGCCTTTGTACGTACCCCATTACGTTCGCCGTTCGTCTCTTCTTTGTCCGTTTAAGGTCTGCGGCGGACGGGGCAAGTGCGAATGCGGTACCTGCAATTGCCTGCCGGGATGGGGTGGCGAGACGTGCGACTGCAAGGAGACCAACAGTACGTGCATCCCGACGACAGGCAAGAACGTCGAGATTTGCAGCGGACGTGGCAAGTGCATCTGCGGTAGCTGTCACTGCCACGAGCGGGACAATATCCGATATTCCGGACAATATTGCGAGGCGTGCCCAGTGAGTGTCCGCGCGTAAGGATTTGATCTGGGAAGTTTGTTCGAAGAAATTGTTTATCAATTTCTTCCAACAAACAAAATAAGAAGGAACATAAAAAGGGCTCGAGATGCGTGGATATTTTTGCATAAAAATTTCTATAGTAATCGATTATTCGCATTCAGGAGACAATTTATGTACAATTAATATTATTATTGTACATAACACGCACATGGTTGAAAACTTAGAAAGTTATGTATTTGCGAGAAAGTGGGGGGGGGGGGGAGAAGACTTTCCTGACCGAGAATAAAATTAAATTTATTGTTAAATGTTTGGATACTGAAACAATTTATTAAATTGTTGATTATTACGCATCTATATTCATTAATTTAATTTTATTTCTTATATAATTTTAAATCTTATTAAATTTGATTTTTACGAATAACGTATTTAGAAAATGCATATTTCGATCTGCACTTATATATAGTGTTCTAGAGTTTTTAGTAGTAAAAAAATATCTTAATTTTACGAAACAGTTATTTATTTATAACCCACTTTAGACGTGCCCAGAACAACGGTGTGATGAACTGAAGGATTGCGTGGAGTGCATAGCGTACAACACAGGACCACTCGCGACAAACGGGAAGTGCGACTTGTGCGTGCACGAAATAGACATTGTTAGTAGTTCTTTCCTTGAGATAACACTTCTACTTCGCAAGCTGTGTGAAGGCGGTTAATAATTTGCGATGCGATACAAATGGACGCTAATTCTTACTCCACAGGTCGACACTGTCGAGGAAGATCTTGCGAAAGATAAGGAAACCGGCGCCCGCATATGTCGAACACCCGGTGATGCAGGCTGTACGTTTGTCTTTAAGTATCAATATCACAGAGCTGGTACCGGAGGAGACATCAAAATTCTTCAGATTCAAGCCGAGAAAGAAAAAGCTTGCCCAACACTTATTGACGTTTTCGGTAATCATTCTTGTTGTACTATTATATTAATTATACTTTATTTCGTTATGTTCGCTGCCATAAAATATACAATTTACAGTTCCATTCTATGCTTTTTGATAAATTAAACAAGATTAATAAGTATAATTATACGTATAATTAATTAGTCGTGATGAGATTAATAATGCACATCTACACATAACGTAGTTTTAAAAAATTATGTAATGTATTTTATGTTATTTTTTCAAGATTATTTTATTTGTCTGGCCATTCTCTCTCGCTCTCTTTAATCCTAGTTATTATTTATACGATAATATTTGAAAACTAATATAGTATCTTCGCGCGTTGGTTGCGCTTACGCGTATACGATTGAACATGCGAGGAGATGTACAAAATGAACTAGAATTTACTTTCTCCCGTAGGTGTTGCACTGGGCGTCGTCATAAGCACCGTCGTCATCGGTTTCCTGATTCTCCTCATTTGGAAGATCCTCACGATCATCCACGACAAGAGGGAATACGCCAAGTTCGAGAAGGAGCGCGCCCTCGCCAAATGGGACAGAGTGAGTCGCTATTCTTCATTGTTCCCGATCGCGTGACTACGAGATTGCTGGAACGTCAATATATATGTCGAAATGTTTCAGGGCGAGAATCCTCTGTACAAACAAGCGACGTCGACTTTCTGCAATCCGACGTTCAAGGAAACCGCCAGAAATTAGTAATTTTTAGCTTTAGACTCTCATTGTGATATATTACGAATTTCGTATAAAAGTTTCTAATTTTATTTTTTATGTGTTGAAATTTCATATAATAAATAAATTAAAAGATGACATGTGTTATTCTTTATTAATCTTCCCCATACAGCACAGATTGTTGCAGAAAGTTTCCAGAAAGGTTTCAAAGTTGCAGATTGCTTCCAGAAAGGTTCCAAATCATTTGAAACCTTTCTGGAAACTATCTGCAACAATCTGTGCTGTATGGGATCAGTTCTTAAAGATCAGTTCTTATATAAAAAATTGATTAAGTATCTATTATAAAAATAATTAAACTTATTCTTTTATTTTTAATACTAAACATTGATTTAATTTATTTTTCTATATTTTAACATTTAAAAAAGTGGTAAATAGCAATTAATGTATTATTAATTATATTAATAATATATCAACATATGATTCAAGTTAAAAAATTAAGTCACGCAAATTGCTTGTGTCTAATGAACAGACGTAAATTAATATAAATCATTATCTTTTAATATATAAGTGAGATATTCTTAGATCTTACTATTGCGCCCGGCTAGAAATATTATTTATGGGAGTAATAGGAGATTTCAACGCCGGCCTTCTCTCCAATATACCAGATCCGATGACTAGCGCCGCGCTAAAGCGAATGAATTGAAACAAGCCTCTGCGGGCGCCATGGTGTTTAATTGCCGCATAATGAGAAGACCAATCGGCAGCGAGAATCTTGCCGTGCAAAAACGAGCAAAACTTTCCACGGCTCTTTTCCTCTTCCTTCGCCTCTTTACATTCTTCTGCTACTCTCACCGAGCTCGTAATAACATCTCCGCTCAAATACTTCCTGCTTCCCCCCTATTTATTGCGAAATCTAGCCGCGTAGGTTTTCCAACGAGACTTTTTGTTGTTTCATTCTATCATCGTAAAGCCGTTTTCTATGCCGGTCATGGCCAACGACAGATTTGTAGATAGCGATCTAAGAGCGATTGCTTAATTAATGAGCCAAAAAGATCTAGAATCAGTTTTACGAATTTAGAATTATTTTATTTATTTTATGTTAACACACATATAAAACAAATTTATAATAATTTTATTAAGGAGAATTAAAACTACTATCACTGGAATTTACATCGCGCGTGTATTTGGCACCTTTTTTTATCTTAAAAAAAAAGTAATTTTGCACTGTATCCATTACCACACATTTTAATTTAATACTTTATTCACAGATTTTGCTGCACATAAAAGTTACTTAAAATAATAATGTCAGCAATGCAAAATTATTCTTTGTGAAAATAAGGATTGATGGTGCATTGATGATAAATACTTTGATTACTTGCAACGAAGAGACCTTTCAGTTTCTATAGACAATATTGAATATTTATAACCATGTAATAGCTTTGATGAGTTGTTTAGTTTCAGAAAATATAAAAATTTGCAACACAAACTTTGCAAAAGGTTTAAAAAACTGTGGCTAGAAAAAAGTATCACAGGAGATCTATTTCTAAATAAATTCTTGAAAGAGACATGCGGTTGCCGAAAAGAATACCAAGAATTTACTGATATTATTAATGTAGTTTTTATAATATTTCGCTGAACAACTATTCTAAGCAAAAAAATGCAACATTATTGCCCAAAAATAAATCATGAAAAAAAGAAAGAGGAAGAAGTATTCGAAAATAACAAAATTATAAATAAATACAAATATTTCGTTTTTATTAGGCATTAACTCCTTTTATAATCTACCAGATTTAGGCACCAGATAACTTCAAAAAAATAATTTATTTATATATTTCAAAATGGTAAACAAACTATTCATTTTATCAGTCTCTACGACTGTTGAGTGTGTAGACGGACACATGCGGATATCTTTCTCTCCGTTAGTTAAGCAAGTAATTGTTAATATTACAGAATATAAAATGAAACTCTCGCAGTTTAAATAAGCATTATTCGAAAATTGTGGAATATTTATCAGGTGTATTGAGTTTCACATAAAAAAGACGTAACCAGCGCTAACGACAACAATGTCTTCGTACCGCCTCCATCAACAACTATTTTTCTCAATTCCTCTTAATTGCATATCGCGTTGAAAACACGAGCTATCAATTCCTTGCTATTCGGGCTGTCCATTTTAGCGAGACTCACCAAAGCGCTGATCACACCGGCCTCCGCTAACACGCGCCGTCTTTTTCCCCACGAAGCTGTCCTCGGCCAGTATTTAATTCTTAACATCAAAATAATTGACAAATATTTCCATCTTAGATATGAGATCTTCCTTGTCATAAGCGCTGCACAAGTTTACTACCAATATGTCCACTTCATACAGAACGATTGATTTTCAGGCTTGGCGAACTCGATTATCGCTTGAACGGCTCGTTCGTCTCCGATCAACGCGTTTTTTACTTCGGGATTGAAAGTGAAATACGATAGACTTGCAACGGCCCATTTTCTCATATCTCTCTGAAGATTGATTAAGAATTGTCTGCAAATCTTCATCCATGTCTTTATTTCGCTGCAGAACATTTTGATAACCCAGAAATTTTCTTTCCACTCTTCGAATTTGGTCATCTTGCAAATACCCACCAAGCGCTTTAACTCGAGTTAAATCATCCAGGTCCAGAGAATAACATAGATTCTGCAATATAGTTAAACTTGGACCTATGATTCTTCGACCGACGAACGTGTTGGATTCGTTATATTTGGTAAAGGCATAAATAAACTTGCAAATCACTTTTTGTAGCAATGAGTCATTTTTCTTCTTTTCCAAAAAATCAACAATTATAACATCAAATCCGTTTTCAGCAATAATTTTTCTTGCAACATTAAACGGGCCGAGTGTTAAGGTTGTCATCGCAATGATTGTACGCACCTGTAAAAAAAAAACGATTAACAATTTATAAATTTTTACGTTTGGTGAAACAATAATTCCTTTTTTTTTTTTTAAACAGAAAGAGTATATTTTTATTCCGCCAACAAATAATTAACAATTAAAATTCTTAAATCGACTATAATCGGCAAACATCTCCTACTTTGACAATTCGACCATTGATTTTCGTCAGATTAATCATCAAGACATTTTGACCATGAGTTTTAGTCCTTCTGAACTGATGTAATTTTGAAGTTTATATATAAGCATCGTATTTAAATAATATAATTTATTGCGAAAAACCTTGGTTGAGGGTTGAGGTAATATTTATCGCAATAAATTAAATTATTTAAATATGATACTTATTATATGGCTGGATTCGGGGAGCGCGCTATTAGCGCTATTTGCTTGTTCTATCCTTGTTTTACACCTGATGAGCGATAAAGACAGAATGATGCAATAGCGCTAATAGCGCGCTCTTCGAATGCAGCCTATGTATATAAGTTTCAAAATTACATCAATTTAGAAAGACCAAAATCCATGGTCAAAATGTTTTGACGATTAATCTGACCAAAATCGTAATGGTCGAATTGTCAAGATGTTTGCCAATTGCAGGTTTGTCGATTCCAGAATTTTAATTGTTATTCTTTCTTTAATCATTTCAGTGTCGTTATTAAACTATGATTGAAAATAGGAAAAATCTGTAATTAAAAGTATTAATTAAGCTTCAAAAAATACGATAGATAATAAAGTCATATTTCAATAAATTTCGATTAAACTTTTTTATAATATCATGTATAAATCATAAATCATATATTAATTTGAAACTTATAGAATATACATCAACAATTTCTCAAATTATACTATAGGTAATATTTAAAAAGATGCTTGGCCTTTTATTTTAAAATAATTTAAGTCACCGAAATGATGTTGAAAAATTCTTCCTTATTATTTTCATTCAAGTTTTCATCGATTTTTGCTAAACATACGCTGGTTATAGTTTGCGTGGGAGACGTAATATCCAACAAATTGTAATGTTTGCATTGGCCTATTTCCACTTGACTAGCTATTTCCATTAATTTTTACAAACCGCCAAACTCGACCAATTGTTTGGCCCAGCCTAACGCAGTATAATTAATGTTGCGCGTAATAAATTCTATTAATGCGTCTCTAGCAATGCCTGTTGTCGTTTCATTTTCTATTTTATCCAACAAGCTCGACAGAATTGTGTCAATTTCTTTTTTATGCAGCATGCACAATTAATGTCTCGTTAGGTTTTGAATCGGGTTCATCGTTTATGCAGCTGTAAGTGTTTAATATAGTCTGAAACCGAGTTACACAATAAATTAATTACTGAAATACGTGTACGCTAACTAGTCAATAATATTTACCTGTAAACAATATTGAGATGCGTTGACTCTCTCTGTACATGTGCTGTTCATCATTTCCAGATACCAAGGCAAAACGCCACAATGGACTCGGCTCCCACAGCATCTAACGGGCTGAATATTAAGGCTGTTATCGCAAGTACCATGCTCACTTGTAAAGCAATTAATTAACAATTTGTAAATTATTGCTTGAAACAATATTTGATTTAAAAGAATAAAGATAGCTACAAAGTTATTTAATATTTAATATTGATGAAAAATAGGAGAAATCTCTGATAAATTATGCTTTAGAAAATAAGATAAATGGCAAAGTCATATTAATAAATTTTGATTAAACTCTGTTATAACTGTATTTTAATACATAAGTTACAGAATATACAATATCGACAATTGAAAAGAAAATCTTTTTTGACATTTTTGCTTTAAAAATATAGAGTTTAAATTTCTCAAGTATATGTTATTGTTAAAGAGATATTCGCCCTTTTTTATTTTGAAACAATTTAAATAATTAGAAAAGACCGGAAATTACATTGCAAAATTCATACTTTGGATTCTGTGTCAAATTTAGGCAGTTTATCTCCAATAAAATCGTCAATGGCGTTGATAAATGTTTTCTTATCATCATCACTGCATATCATCTTTTCATATATTTCTGTTATGTACATACTGATTAGAGTTTGCGTGAAAGAAGTGATGTCGATTGAGATTTTGTTTTTAAATTTCATCATTTCACTGGCCACTTCCATTAATTTTTGCAAACCGCGAAGCTCGACCAATTGTTTGGCCCAATCTAACGCAGTATAATAAATGTTAAGGCCATTACACGTAACAAAGTTTTAGTCATAATCGTAAGGCCGTAAAAAAATAGACCAATCACACTCGATTATTCTTCGAGCTCAAGGAGAATAATCGACTGTGATTTGTCTATTTTCTTACAGCCTTACGATTACGACTAAAACTTTGTTACGTGCAATGGCCTTTACGCGTAATAAATTCTATTAATGCGTCTCTAGCAATGCCTGTTGTCGTTTCATTTTCTATTTTATCCAACAAGCACGACAGAATTGTGTCAATTTCTTTTTTATGCAGCATGCACAATTAATGTCTCGTTAAGTTTTGAATCGGGTTCATCGATTGTTCATGCCGCTATTCAATACATTCTGAAACCGAGAATTACACAACAAATCAATTACTGTAAATACATGTATGTTATAATTACATTCTAGTCGTAAACAATATTCAGATGCGTCGACTCTCTTCGTAAACGTGCTGTTCATCATTTTCAGACACCAAGGTAAAACAACTTTTATCATAGTGGACTTAGTTCGACTAACATTGTTTTTGCATAACCCGGCTACAATACGAATCGAGCTACAGATCACTTTATCGTTCTCTCCCACTTCTTTTATGAAGATCTCGTAGGCAGTTCTCCAACGTGCAAGTGTATAAGCAGAGTAATCATGGCGTTTTGACGTTTCTCCTTATCTGCAGAGCAAAATTAAGCGTATATTTGAATATAATGATCTGTAATAAGGATATAAATTAACTGTGAAAGATTATAATTGTACGACGTAATATTTAGGTACCCATATATATAGTGTGTAGTTATTAATCGATAAGAAAAAATAATTTCTATATAATAAGAGAGACAAGAACTCATATTCGTTTGTAAAATTATATGTGATATTAAGTGAAATAAGAACTCTTATTAAAATATATTAAATATAAAAAGTGTGTTATGATTTTTATATATTATCTAAACCAAATTCACGTACGTGTCTTGCAAGTTAATGAATTTTTGAGTTATATATATGTATCTTGGCATTAATACTTGCTTTGTTTTTAATATGTTTGTTTGGAATTTCACAAAATTGCTCCGTTATGTGCCGAGGTAGCGTATCATTTGAGCAAGATGTAAGAATAATCTCCACGTTCTGATATGCCTGCTCGAATTCCTCTAACTCTATTAATGCAAAAAAAGTCTGCGAATCAATGTTATGCGAAAGTTATGATATATTTTTAACTTTAACACACTGTTGCAATCTTTAATCACTTTATCGTCATGCTCAAAATATGCGGCAGCTCGATTATCGTAATACAATCCCTTCTCAGTGTCGTCTGTTGCTAGCAATTGCCGTTGTGTAGTGACTTATGGCTTTAGACTACTTTCCGTGGATTAACTCTTTATCACTCTTCTTATTCCATTCCTGTGCAGTCATATCTGACTCTACCATGGTGGAATAATGTTATAACACAAAATATATGATGTTGCAATGTTTTAACATGGAAAGACTCTCTGTGACATTTTCTACATATTATATTGAATGCGAAAACCATGCACAGATTACGAATTTATTACAAAATAAATGCAAGTATGAGACACTATAATGGATCAAAAATAAATTAACAGTTTAATAATAACATTGCATTTTTTAATGTAAAACCTGCATATAAATTGTAATCAATTGTTGCAATAATTTTTATATTAGAAAGCTAACTTGCATGCTAGTATTGGAAGACAGGTTTATTTTCGATGAATTATATCTTTGACACAAATAAAGGAGCAGTAAGGTTAAATATAATTATAGATTGAATAATATTATCGATCTACTGATTGTAAATCGATCGAAACAGTTCGGGTTTGGATTGATAACAATTTATGACACTACACGTAGATATTTCAATTCGTTTTAACGCAAAAAATGCAATTATGTATAACGATTTCGCTGCAATAGTCAAGGGCAATTTACATTCCTCCCTTTTATGAGTAGAAAATTTAAATTCTTCGACGAAAGCGTGTCTGGGATAATGTGCGATTTATTTGAGACTTGCGAGAAATTCAATGGCGTGAGATTAAATCTCGTTCCATCGATTTTTTGTTTATTTTATATGACGGTATTTAACGTCAACCGCATGGTTGTTATTCGCGGCGATTTTTTTCTTTGACACATCTAGTTCTTTGGTCTGTTCAAACCAGCTCGAACGTGTTTCGTACAAACAGATCGTCACAACGGTCGGTGGCATAAGGGTAGTATAAGAAAATAAAGACTCGAGTAACAAAGACTTTAGATTCGTGAGCGGTCACATTTCGACCAGATAAATATTACAGTACACAAAAGTTAATTCTTCAGTTACATGAAAGAAAAGAAACATTAATATAATTTATTATAAAACTAGGGTGTTTTGTTACACGTCGCCTCTTTTTCTTCGTATAACATGAGATATTTCTAAACGTTGCTCTAATGCTCTAATTGCAATTTATTCAGGAGAACTCTTGTACTGTGTTTAATAGCCCTACAATGTAATTACTGGCTGGTTTGGCTTTACCGTTTCACTTGAATAAGATATATACAATAGCGTGATCGAGCGGGGATGAAACGTTTTGCTTTACTTGTCTCAACGATCAATTCGTCGAGGTATTTTCGGGCAAATTGTAATAATTTTACGTTGGTTACGAATATCTTTATTACATTGAATTGGATCACGTCGCACGCGGCAAGCTTTTATTCAGATGATCGCGGCGAAACAGAACAGAATGTAGATCCTTTACCTGTCAGATAACTTTCTCTTGGTTCTCTCGTGTTGCTCGAGCTCTCAAACTTTTTGTGCTCGCTCTATGTTTACGATCCTAGGACTTTTCAAGAAGTAATTTACACCGATAACCATTATTCGAAAAAAGCACTGTATGCCGTCTCGTTGGATTAGAATTTTATTCGGATTGACTTTTATTAGCCATGTAACTAGCGTAGTTAATGACTTTCGAAAACGCGGATTCGACCGCGCGTAAAACAGTCAGATTTTTCGCAGAATTCAGGATGAGACATTGGATCAGTTTTCTATTGCTGAACTGGCTGCACTAGTTCAGCGTTTATCTTTTTTCTTCCAAGGTGGAGTAAAAAAGAAAATTTCTGAGCTTTAATAAGCCCGAACGCTTTGAACGCAGCGCATGACACTTTAACGTGTTGAACGTGATGTACGCTTCCCGGTGTATTGCTTTTTACATTGGAGATTATTTGAGCTGTGACGAGTAGACTGCTCAGATTTTTTTTAATTTTCTGTAGAAACATGAGAAACAATGAAATCTTCAAAGATACGGATTCGGCATTTGAAACCGTAATAGAAAACATAGAAAGCGTTAGATAGCTTGTAGACCTAATAATATAAATGTATATATGCAAATGTATATACAATATATTATTATAAAATATATACATAGGTTGTCACAAGATGAACAAACTTTAGCGATGCAAAGAGAAGTTTTGCAAGAACCCAGCCGCCGAAATGAAAACCGTTTATACATCCTCGGCACTCTCCAAGCTCCACCGATTGCTGGCAACAGCGAAGAATGGAATTTTAACCTGCATGAGCAACAATCAAGAATTCACAAAGAGATTTTTGTAGAGACATAGCGATGACCCAAGTCTGTCGAGAAAGAGAATGCTTCTGTGCCTGAAGAAGCTAGAATGTTATTTATCATGGGTAAAAAGCGCCGGAGCACGAGTCTTGTAAATGCAAAGTTTCATTATTTATTAATTATATTGTACATTGTGCTGTCATTTATTAAAATAAAAAATAATATTCTATTAATGTGTCATTTAGATCCCAATTAATTATTCACATTTAATCCTCTTAATTGAATTTAATCTGTATTATCAGTGCTATCTGACGATTTGTTTCCTTCGACATTTCCCTCGATATTGTCCCATTCCGCAACAGCCTCTAGAACAAGGGATGCTAATTTCTTGATCTCCTTGTTTTGCATGGTGTCATTCTTGCTCAATGCCTTCACTTGTTCCATTATTGTATCCATTTCCATGAGTTTTACAGCGACGTCTTTCGCACTTTTCATCATATTTAACGTAATTTCGGTACCTTTATGTTGTAAGTCATTGTGTCGATCATTAAGTAAAAAACGTAGATATATCAGCCAAAAATCCCAGCCGATTAATTTTTTGCAAGCCTCTTCGCTAGCTGCCGTTAACGTTACAAACATTCCAGCTAATTCCTTCTTTGTATAAATTATATTTTCATTTGTGTCGTCCACCATGGACGACATCATAGATTCACGAAGTTGATCAGATCTCTGCTCAACAAGTTGAAAAGCAACTTTACGGCACGATACCAAATTGTTTGTGAGTTGTATGGACGTTCGCTTCAACTGGTTGTCATTGTCACGCATACAGCGCTCGATTTTCTCATATTTTGTCTTGAATATATGTTCTCGGATGCTGTTGTTGACACTAGCTAGATTGCACAAAGCTGTTAGAGCATCGCATCTTTCATTAATGGAACGCTCTGGGTTCAAGAGATGTGAGATCGGCTGTACAACCTCCGTGATTATCTGACCGGGAAATGCAACTTCAGGAGATGTCGTAAGTGCTAGATAGACCAGGGCTCGCGTAGCATCTATCTTTCCCTTGTCTGTGCCATTTAGCGCTAACAACAACAATGCCTCCGTACCGCCTTCTTGAATAACTATTTTTCTCAACTCCTGTCGACTGCATATCGCGTGGAAAACGCGGGCTATCAATTCCTTGCTATTCTCGCTGCCTGTTTTAGCGAGGCTCACCAAAGCGCTGGTCACGCCGGCATGCGCTAACACGCGCTGTCTTTCTCTCACGTTGTTGTCCGCGACCTGTATAAGTTCTTTAAGATAAAAACGATCGACAAACGTTTTCTTCTCAATTATAAGATCTTCCTTGTCATAAGCGCTGCACAAGTTCACCAACAATATGTCCACTTGATAGAGAATTGATTGATTTTCAGTCTTGGCGAACTCGATTATCGCTTCAACGGCTTGTCGGTCTTCGATCAACGTGTTTTTGACTACGGGATTGAAAGTGAGATACGACAGACCTGCAACGGCCCATTTTCTCATATCTCTCTGAGGACTGATCAAAAATTGTCCGCAAATCTCCAGCCAAACAAATATCCGCACTTCATCGTCGACGAACATACAGGCAGCCCGGAAATATTTTATCTCTTCGAATTTGCTCATCTTGCAAATATTCACGAACGCTCGAACCTGAATTGATTTGAATGATGTCAGGTTATCAAGATTACTCGGGTCCTCAGAATAAAACAGTTTTTCCAATATAGGAAGACTTTCACGTATGAACATGATGAATTCGTCATATTTGGTTACACCGACATAGATAAATTCGCAAATCACTTTTTGTAGCAATAAGTCATTCTCATTCCAAAATTTCACAATTATCATGTCAAATCCGTCTTCAGTAATAAATGTGTTTGCAACATTAAACGGGCCGAATGTTAAGGTTATCATCGCAACTATTGCATTCACCTGTAAAAAAAAAACGGTTAATAAGTTAGGAATTTTTACGTTTTGTGAAACAATAATTATTTCAAATAAAAAATTAAGGGACTTTATTTTTATATCGCTTAATTGACATATATCGCTTAATTTACATATATAATATATATATATAATAATTATTTCTTTAAAAATCAAGACAGTTTCAGTGTTATTAAACTATGATTGAAAATAGGAAAAATCTCTAATTAAGAGTAAATTAAGCTTCAGAAAATACGATAGATAAACAAGTCATTCTTCAATATATTTTGATTAAACTTTGTTATAATCATGTATTAACTTGAAATTTATAGAATACACAATATCGACATCGACTATTTCACAAATATTGTACTATAGTTAAAAAGATGCTCGGTCTCTTATTTTACAACAATTTAAGTCATCAGAAAAGATCAAAAGTTACGAAATTCTTACATGACATTCTACGTCAGTCGAATTCAAATTTTTTCTAATAAATTTATTAATGATGTTGAAAAATCTTTTCTTATCATTTTCATCCAAGTTTTCATCGATTTTTGTTAAACACACGCTGGTTATAGTTTGTGTGGAAGACGTAATATCCAACGAATTGCAATATTCGCTCTGGCATTGACTGGCTACCTCCATTAATGTTAGCAAACCGTCAAACTCGATCAATTTTTTGGCCCAATTTAACGCAGTATAATGAATGTTACGTGTAATAAATTCTATTAATGCGTCTCTAGCAATGCCTGTTGTTGTTTCATTTTCTATTTTATCCAACAAGGATGACAGATATTTGTCAATTATTTCTTCATGCATCTCACACAAAACCTCGTCGGGTTTTGAATCGGGTTCATCGTTCATGCCGCTGTAAGTGTTTAATATAATCTAAAACAGAATTACGCAATAAATCCATTACTAAAATACGTGTATACTATCTACATTCTCTAGTCGATAATATTTACCTGTAAACAGTATTGAGACGCGTTGACTCTCTCTGTAGATTTGCTGTTCATTATATCCATCAGACACCAAGGCAAAACAACGTTTATCATAGTGGACTTACAATTAGTTCGACTAACATTGTTTTTGCATAACTCGGCTACAATACGAATCGCGCTACAGATCACTTCATCATCCTTTCCTACTTTCTTTATGAAGAATTCGTAGGCATCAGTTCTCCAACGTGTAAGCCTAAGCAGAGTAATCACGGCGTTTTCACGTTTCTCCTGATCTGCGCTCACGTTAAATGCTAGATCCATTATTTGTGATACCTAATACAAAACAAAAGTTAACGTATATTTAAATATAATGGTCTGTAATAAAAATATGAACTAACTGCGAAAGATTATATTTGTATGACGTTAATATTTATCCATATAATGTGTAGATTATTAATCGATAAGAAGAAATAATATATTATATAATAAGAGAGACAAGAACTCAAATCCGTTTGTCAAATTATATGTGCATGATATTGAGTGAAATAAGAACTCTTATTAAAATATATATATTGAACATGAAAAATGTGTTATTATTTTTATATTATCTACTATCACCAAATTAACGTGTCTTGCGAGTTGATGGGTTTTTGTAGTTATATGAATATTTATTTTGATATTAATACTTGCTTTTTCCTTAATATATTTGTCTGAAATTTCACGAAATTGCAACGGTATATAAAGATGTGGTGAATCATTTGAGTCAGATGTATCATTTGAGCAAGATGTATCATTTGAGTAAGATGAAATAATTGTCTCGTTCTCATTCTTCTCGAATGCCTCCTCGAATCTTTCTAACTCTGTTAATGATAAAAATCTGCGAAACAATGTTACGGGAACGTTAGGGAATATTTTTAACACACTGTTGCAGTCTTCAATCGCTTCGTCGTAATTGCCCTGCTCAAAATATGCGGCAGCTCGATTATCGTAATACAATCCTTTCTCAGCGTCGTCTGTTGCTAGTTCAATTGCCTTCGTGTAGTGACTTAAGGCTTCGGACCAATTGCCATTGTTAAACTCTTTATCACCCTCCTCATTCCATTTCTGTGCAGCCATATCTAACTCTGCCATGATAGAACAAAACTACAACACAAAATACCATATATGATGTTGCAATGTATGTTTTAACATAGATAGACTCTCTATGACATATTTTATACATGTATTATTTTAAATGTAAAAAGCCCAGATTATAAACTTATTACAAAATAATTATACGCGAGTATGAGACATTAATGAGTCAAAAATAAACTTACAGTTTAATAATAATAACATTGTATTTTCTAACGTAAGACTTGGCATATAAATCATAATTGATTGTTGCAACAATTTTTATAGTAGAGAGCAGATAGCTAACTTGCACTAGCATTGAAGGACAAATTTATTTTCGGTAAATTCTCTTCGACATAAATATAGGAGCATTGGGGTTAAATATATACTGAACAATGTTATCAATCTACTGATTGTAATTCAATTATTATCAATCATCACGACAGTTCGGGTTTGGATCGACAACGATTCATGACATTACACGTAGATACTTCAAATACTTTTAATGCGAGAACAGCAATTATGTGCATTTCGCTGTAGTAGTCAGGGGCAATTTTACACTTCTCCTTTTTATGAATCGAAAATTTAAATTCTTCGAAAAAAGCGTATCCGGGAAGGCGTGCGATTTATCTGAGACTCGCGAGAAATTCAATTGCGTGAGATTAAATCTCGTTCTATTGATATTTATGTCTAATATGACGGTATTTAATGTTTCGTCAACCAAGTGGTTATTTCGGTTTTTTTCTTTGACACATCCAGTTCTTTGGTCTGTTCAAACCAGTTCGAACGTATGTATCGTGTAAACATCAGATCGTCACAACGGTCGGTGGCTGAAGGGTAGCATAAGAAAATAAAGACTCGAGCAAGAAGGACTTTAGATTCGTGAAGGATCACATTTTAACGAGATAAATATTACAGTACACAAAATTTAATTTTTCATTTACATAAGAAAAGAGACATTAATACACGATTTATTATAAAATTAGGATGTTTTGTCATTCGTCGCTGATCTTTCTTCATACAACGTACATGAGATGTTTCTAAACGTGCGTTTATGTTAATGCTCTAATAAATTGCACCTCATTTAGGACAACTCGTGTACTGTTTAATAGCGCTACAATGGAATTACTGGCTCGATCACTTAGCTTTACTGTTTCACTTGTGTAAGATATACAATATTGTGATCGAGCGGGGGGATAAAACGTTTTACTCTACTTGCCTCGACGATTCGTCGAGCTATTTTCGGGCAAAATGTAGTAATCTCACGTTGGTTACAAATACCTTTATTACATCGAATTGGATTACGTTGCACGCGGCAAGATTTTATTCAGATGATCGCGACAAAACAGAACAGAATGTAGATTCTTTACCTGTCTCACAGCTTTCTGTTGGTTCTCTCGTGTCGCTCGAACCTTCAAACTTCCTGTGCTCGCTCTATGTTTACGATTCTAGGACTTTTCAAGGAGTAATTGAAACCGACAAGCGTTATCCGAAAGAAGCACCGTGTGTCGTCTCGTTGGAAAAGAATTTCATTCGGATTGGTTGTTATTAGCCATGTGACCGGCGTAGCTAATGAGACACCATTCGCTGCGCGTCACGTGACTTTCGATAGCGCGGATTCGACCGCGCGTAAAGTCGTCAGATTTTTCGCAGAATTCAGGATGAGACATTGGATCAGTTTTCTAGTACTGAACTATCTGCACTAGTTCAGCGTTTATCTTTTTCCTTCCAATGTGGAGTAAAAAAGATGACCTCTGAACTCGTGCAGCCAGTTCGCAGCAATAGAAAACAGTCGAGCTTTATTATTACAGTGATAAGCTCGAACTTTTGAACGCAACGTACGACTTTTTAACGTGTCGAACGTGATATATTATGCGCTTCCCGGTATATCGTTCTTTACATTGGAGGTTATTTGAGCTGTGACGAGTAGGCTGCTTAGGTTTTTTTTTTCTGTGGAAACATAAGAAACAATATCAAATCTTCAAAGATTCGGCATTTGAATCTGTTACAGAAAACATAAAAAGCGTCAGTAGCTTTGTACACTTATATATAATCATATAAATGTATACATTATAATATATTATTATTAAATACATATAGGTTGGATTGATTATTGCGACAAGATGAACAAACTTTAGCGGTGCTAAGAGAAGCGCTTCCATTTTGCAAGAACTAGCCGCCGAAATGAAAATCATTTATACGTCGTCAGCACTCTCCGAGCTTCACTAATTGCTGGCAACGGCGAAGGATGGAATTTTAATCTGCATGAGCGGCAATCAAGAATTCACAAACGGATTTTCGCAGAGACATAATAGCGACGACGCAATCTTGTCGAAAAAAAGTCCTTTCTGTGCTCGAAGAAGCTACATAGAATATTAAATTTATCGTACGTAAAAAGCGCCGGGGCAGGAGTCTTGTAAACGCAATAAAGTTCTATTATTATTATTAATTATACTATACATTGTGCTATTATTTATTAAAATAAAAAAACAATATTCTATTAATGACATTTTAGATCCCAGTTAATATTTACATATAATTTTAGAAAATCGTCATGTTTTACATTTTATCAGTGCTTTTGTGATGATTTGTTCCCTTCGACGTTTTCCTTGATTATGATCCATTCCGCGGCAACCTCTAAAGCAAGAGATGCTAATTCCTTGATCTTGTTTTGTACGGTATTGTTTTACTATATTGTACGTTTGGATTAAAGAGGAAATAGCGTAGCTTTTTCATCGAGGAATTCAAGTTGAGTATTTTCTCACAAGTCTTTTACTGACCGCCGTGATCCTCGCTAGACCTCCAGTATCAACTGTCTTATTATCTTCATTTTTGTCGATTCGTCGTTCCACAATGTATCGAACACAAGATACATAATTCTAGAATCTAGCTCGCGACATTGGATAGCAATTTCACGGCATAAAGTCAAATTTTCAAATAGTAGTGCGGATTTGAGTTTCAACATGTAGTTATCCGATTTTACATATAGTTGGTGAATTTCTCAAATCCTGCCTCGTTAAATATACGTTTTCGCATCTTGTTGTTTGACGCTAGCTAGATTGCACAAAGCTGTTAGAGTCTCGCAAGTCTCATTCACGGAACACTCCGGTTCCAGGAAATTTACGATCGGCCGAACAACCTCCATGATTAGCTGACCGGGAAATGCAACCTCAGGATCTATTGTGAGTGCCAGATGCATCAAGGCTCGCGAAGCGTATTTCTTTCCCTTGTCTGTGCCATCCAGCGCTAACGACAACAATGCCTCCGTGCTGCCTTGTTGAACAACTACTTCTCTCACTTCTTCTGGAATACATATCGCGTTGAATACGCGGGCTATCAATTCTTTGCAGTTCCGGTTGTCTGTTTTGGCGAGGCTCGCCAAAGCGCTGGTGACACCGGCCTTCGCTAACGCGCACCGTCTTTTATTCACGAATTCGTCGGTGTTCAGTTTCTCGTTTTGCCCGAAAATGTGATGATGCCGGCCAAACTTTAGCAATTCGTTCATCTCGGGTAAGTATATGAGTTCTTGATTGTCATAAGCGTGTTACACAAATTTACGAACGTCGTGACCACGGCATAGAGTACCGACTGATCGTCAGTCTTGGCAAGCTCGATAATTGCTTCAATGGCTTCTTCGTCTTCGACCAACTTCTCTTTGATCGCGGCGTGGGTAGTAAGATACGACAGGTTTATAATGGCCCATTTTCTCATATCTTCTTTCTTGGGATTGATCAAGAAACGTCTAGAAATCTTGGCCATAAGGGAACAAATTGAAAATCGCGATATCGCGTAAACTGATGCTTTCTTCGAATCTGTTCAACTTGCACAGACTCACAAACGCTTGGACCCGAACTGAATCATCTTTAGATCGATACAGGTTCTCCAATGTTTCTATACCTTTTTCAAGGAACACGTTGAGATAATTATACTTAGTCGCAGCGGCAAAGATACATTCGCAAACCACTTTCTGTTGCAATATGTGATCCGTTTCCGCCATAGCGAGAATTATCTCAAATCTCCTTTTTTTATAGATAATTGCGTCCGCAACATCTAACGGGCCAAATATTAAGGTTGTTATCGCAACTACTGCACGCACCTATAAAGCAATCGATTAAATTATGATTTTTTTGGTGAAACAATAATTAATTAATCAAAAAAATATTAATATACAGTTAGATTTTAATTAAAAATAGGAGGAATTTCTGGTTGGAGAAATTAAGAGAAATTAAGTTTCAGAAAATACATAAATGAAAAAGTCACAGTCTCCAATAAATTTTGATTAAACTTTCATATTTTATAATCGTATTTTAATGTAAAACAGAATATACAATACTGATAATTGAAAAAGAATTATATTTTGATATTTTTGCTTAAAAAGTAGAATTTAAATTGCTCAAAAACGCTATAATTAAAAAGATGACCCTTAAGTTTAAATAATTTAAATAATGAAAAAAGATGTCGAAAAATACCGTCAATTCTGTACTAAGCAATGTATAAGACAAATGCAAATTGTCTCCAATAAAGTCATCGACGGCGTTGATAAATGTTCTCTTATCATCATCATAGTACATCTTTTCATATACTTTTGCTAAGCACACACTGATTAAAGATCGCGTAGAAGACGTAATGTTTATCGAGGATTCTTTGTATTTGTATTCCTTCAATTAACTGGCCACCTTCATTAATTTTTTCAAATCGTCAAATTCAACCAATCGCTTGGCCCAGTCTAACGTAGCATAATGAATGTTACGTGTAATAAATTGTATTATTGCGTCTCTAGCATGGCCTGTTATCGTTTTACTTTTTACACTATTCAACAAGCACGATAGAATCGTGTCAATTTTTTTCTTATGCTCTTCGCACAAAGCCTCGTCGGGTTTTGAATCGGGTTCATCATTTATGCCGCTGTAAGTGTTCAATATATTCTGAAATTGAAATAACCAAGAAATTATTAAATTATTAATTACTGAAGTACGTGCATGATAACTACACGTTTTTCGCTCAAAATATTTACTTGTAAACAATATTGAGACGCGTTGACTCTCTCTGAAGATGTGCTGTTCATCATTTCCAGACACCAAGGCAGACCGACGTATTTCATAATGGATTCGGTTTGATTAATATTGTTTTTGCATAACTCGCCTACAATACGAATCGCGCTACAGATCATTTTCTCGTTCTTTTGCAGTTTCACAACATGTGTGATTTTGAATAAATTTTCCTCTTCGAAGATCTGCTCGGCACCAACTTTCTCACGTGCGAGCACAAACAAATTATAATTATTCATAGCGGTTTCTCGTTTCTCCTTTTCTGCACTCATGTTAAATGCTAGATCCAACATTGTGTATACCTATATAATACAAAGCAAAATTAAGCGTATACTTAAATATAATAATCTGTAAAAAAAGTTAAATAACTATGAAAGATAATATTTATGACGTGTTTTTTATCTATCTAGTGTGTGTAGACTATTAACAATAAGAGCTAATAATTACATAATAATAAAAACAAAAACTTTAATCCAATTGTCAAATTAAATGTTGCATTGAGTGAAACAAAAACTCTTACTAACTCTTACTCTAACTCTTATTATACTAATATATCTAGTATGAGAAATGTGTTACAGTTATTATACAATAAAAAAACTGATAAAGGATGGCTATGAGAGTCAGACGCAGTTATTAGTGCGTAAAAGATCCAATTCACTGATTTATTCAATAGTGTATATATATGTACGTTTCGGTTCGGGATTGAGCCATCTTCAGTAAAATATACAAAAATTAATTAATAATTGCTCCCCTTCTCCATTCTTATTCAGTGAGTTTCTTTTTTGATTCTTGATTATTCCTTTTTTGAGTTATTATACAGTTATTATCGAGACCAAATTATCATGTCTTGCTAGTAAATAAACTTTTGTAATAGTTATGTACATATTTACCTTGGCTCTAATTTCTGCATTTTTGTTAAGACGTTTTTGTAGAATTTCAAGTAAGCGCGCCGCTGCGGGTCGAACAATTTGGTTATTTGAGTAAGATGAAATAATAATTTCCGCATCCCGATATGCCTCCTCGAATTTTCTCTAACTCCATTAGCGCTTGACATCTGCGATACAATGCCTTGGGATCTACGATGTATCATTAACGCCATATCGCAGTCTTTAACCGCCTTGTCGTAATCATGCAGCATTAAATAAACGGCAGCTCGATTTGTGTAGTACACAGCTTTTTCAGCGTTGTCCTCTGCTAGTCTCAGTACGTTTGTATAGTGATTCAGTGCGCTTTAGCTCAATTGCCTTTTTTATACTCTTCATTACCCTTCTCTTTCCATTCCTGTGCGATCATATCTGACTCTGTCCTGATGGAATCACTCTCTACAACACAAATTATATAATGCTGCATTATATGTTTTAACATGGAAAGACTGTCTGTTATTTATATATTTTATAT